TTTTCAGATAACATAGGGTCATTTCACCTTTTATGATAAGCACTGTAATCAGTTCTAAGTTTATTTTGCCTTTCTCTCTATCTTTGAATTCGTTGTTGATGAATGGAATCTCTGTAAAACTCATTTCCACTTCCCGAGATAGCATCCAAGTTATCAAATGAATGGTCTTCATAAACAAACGTTTCTAAATATCCATCATGATAGCAGTATCAACTAAGACAATTGAAGAACACTATTGGCATATCTGTTAAACCATTCGCATAGGAAAACCAAAATTGTCCGTCGAATATGAGAAAACAGTTATAAAAAATCGTTTAAGAAATATTCAACTATTTAAATTTTCTAACAATGTAATAATTATGTAACATTAATTACACTTTGTAAAAGCACAACACATAGAATCTGAATTTGAGCGACATGATTAAACATTAATGACAAACAGATTTGTGCAAAAATTTTAAATGATGGACAAACATAAACCTTATTACCTAAGAAATACAAACAACTGACCAAAAATATTCCAAATATAAGCACAACAAGCTCTTGTAATCCTTCCTAAAGCAATAAGGAATTTTAATGTTAACTCTATGTTATTTTCTCTTTCTATTATTTATTATTGACGGTAGAAAAGATGAAACATATGATTTTTGTATAATTTAATACAAAATTATAAAATTTAATTTATACTTTATCATTTGTTAACGTATATGAAGCATTATATATTCCTCTTCTAGTAAAAGAGTGAATCCCTGACATTACATTAAATTTTTCTCTATTTTCATTACAACCACACATTCATCAAATAAAATAATATTACACACAAATCTAATATTTTTTACTACTTTTCTACCACACATTCTCCCATCAATCACTATTCCAAAAATTTTCAACCATAAAAAATGCACAATAATGGGGGCCAAACATGGGCTATATTTAATGGCCATGTTAAAAAAAAAAAAAAAACCTATTCTATGGAGTGCGGACACCATGGAGCAAATACACCACGAATAATTTTTTTTCTTTTTTTATAGTTTTCAATGATCTAAAAAAAAAAATTCACCTCATAAGTCAACAAAATGAAAGTTCAGAAAGAATTTAACAATTCAGTTGGTCATCAATTATCATCCACCGAAAAATGAAATGATAGGAGAAAGAGAACCGAGTCCCCATCAATTTTGCATATATGATTTTAAAAGTTCAACAGCAATATAAATTGACAAATAGAAATGCATGAAAATCTCTTCAGACGTTTTTGCAGCAGCAGATGAATTCTTGTTAAATTTTCTTGCCAGTTTGTGAACTGAAAGCATCTTCTATTGCTTATTTTTCTCTTATTCCCATTTTCCCCTTAAGCTTTTCATTTTTGCCTATTCTTTCTCTCTATATATATGTGAGGTTTGAAGTGGATTGAATGAAGAAGAGAAATGAAGGATTTGTTTTAATCCTACCGCCACCACCGCTTTCTTTCTTTCATTTATAATCTTATCCCCTTTTTTTGCATGAACATTATAATTTCACAAGAAGAAAAAGATATGGCCAAGAATCAAACCTCAAATCATGAGGAATGACCACCTCAACAAATGAATCAGGAAAATGAAAAAAAAACTGACTTGGATAAACAAATAAACCTAAAATATAACAGCTATCAAATTAATATACCTCAGTTCAATGATCTCCTATCCAGCATGCAATATTTCCCTATTTTCAACAGTTGAACTGAAAATGCAAACCAAACAACCATAAGAAATTCATAATGAAGACTAAATCGAAGAGGTAGGTAAGAGTATATAGTTTGAGGCCCTTTTGAGTTGATTTTATGCATTGCTCTTTACTCTATTTTCTTCGGAAATTTTGAAGTATTGAGTGTCAAAA